GACACTTCTTTATTTTTTAATGTTGTAAGCCACTAAGTCTATGATTTCATCTTTTTATATATGAACCTTAATACGATTCTTGGCTATGAGCAAGCCGGTTTAACAACTAGACTTAAATATGAGACCTATTCAAGCTATCTCATTTAATTTGATGAAGGACTGACAGTTGAATTTTCCTACAATGATAAGAGTAGAACTGAAGTTTTCATTACTATGTGGCAATGTGGCGTAGTGGCTAATGTTTTGAGCTTACAAACTGCACTATCATGGCTCGAATTCTGCTGAAGGTGAACTATGAGAGTTTGAAAGTGTAGTCTACCATGGATGAAAACACCTTTAGGGAAAGCAAGGCTATATAAAATTCAATAAAAATGTCAGCTCTACTCATATTCTTGTCGATAAATTCAACCATCAGTCCTTCATAACCTTAACCGAAATATTGTGAATATATCTCATATGACAGATTTACTGGTAGTCTCAAAACCCTACTTATAAACGAAAAACAGGCTTAAATATTTTATTTCTTATCTAATTTCTTGACTAGTGAAGAGCGGTTACTTTCGGGGTTTTTCATTTTTTTACTATTTACTTACTACTTATATATGTTGCCACTTCTAAAAATATTTATGCTTTGTATTTCTAGCGAACTCTTTCTTTATTCCATTTATCCACGTCATATTTTATTCTTATATTTATATATATGCATTTAGGTTATTATTTAGTATCTTCTTACTTATAAAAGTGATTTACCTCTAAACATGTTTTTTCTGACTTATCCTGTTCAGATCGTTACAAGCGATTGCTCCAGCGGTACAGCTCCAACTTCATCCGCTTCTTCGTCAGATATTTCCCCGTCTTCTTCGGTTTTTATTTCTTCTCAATCTCGGCAGAAAAGGCGCTCAAGAGATGAGTGTTCATCACCTGTTTTGTCTTCTTCATCGTCCTCTCCCTTGAATCTTGCTTTAATTAAAGCGCCCACTGTTGGTTTAACCTCGTCCTTCTCCATTATTAAATCAAGCCTTACTCAGGATTCTAATCAGGCCCTCTCAAAATCGACTAACTCAGAGGGTATAGTGTCCACGTCATCATCCCTGGCACTAATGACTGATAGTTCGTCAGTGTCAACTGTGAACGATTCCTCTTCAAAGCGGCAAGATCCGACAACAAAGTCTATCAATTCGATGCCGTCCTCTTCGATTTCGGGAATTGAGCCGGTATTACGCATCGTCTTGCCTCCCTCTTCCGGCCAGACTAATTTGCTTCCTACCGCATCTGCTATCAGTACTTCTACTGCATCTCTTAAAACTATCGTTTCTTCCTCTGAAACGACCATTATTACAACTACGGCCATTCCCTTTTTCGTCACAAGTAATTGCATCAATAGTAGCATATCCTGTGCCCCCAATACCAGCCGACCATTGGAGCCGATTAGGCTCTCTCGTCCTTTGCCTGTGATCCGTGCCCTTCCCGCTCGCTCAATGTCTTTTAGTTCACAACTCATCAGTCATGCTTCTGCTCGCAACTCAGGATTCACATCTCTGCCATCAGCTTCAGCTGGTATTTTGTTGACCAATACGGCAACAGGCCGTTTCTTACCCGTTACAACAGCTCGATATCGGTTAATCGAGCCTACTCGATTGATCCGTCCTGCATCCAAGGGCCAAGATCTTACAGCGCTCTCTGTTACAGGTCAGATTCGCCTATGTTTTAGTGTTCATAAGCTTATGGGCTTTTTAACTTAACATTATGAACAATCCCCTAGCCTGAAAAGTTCAGGCCAATATCCTCTATCCAGCATTATGACTCTTCTTAGTACAAATACTTTAATATAAATTTACCTAATTCTTGTATCGAAGCAAAGGTTCAAAGCACACAGGGCTTAATATATTTTGATTCACATGACTACCACTTTTGCCATGCCGAAAAATAACCACCTTTCTCTAGAGTAATCGGCTCTTATTGAAATACTTGAACTAGGGAGATAGTAGACGGATCCTACGGCGAAAGAGAAAGACTCTGATAAGACCTAGGGAAGGAGGATTGCGCAACAATTTGGCAGACTCTGATCAACATTCCCAGCACTAGGGTGAGGGGTGTGATAAAGCCAGCGTGGATTGTGGAGGATTCTCATGAAAGCTGCTCAAAAGGGCACACCACACATAAGCAAGGAAAAAATTGTGATAGTGAAGGCGTGATACGATAATATAGGATAGGTGAATAGCCCATGACAGAAGGAGAGATAACACAACTGTTTAGCACACGTTTTGTCAAAGGATCGGCTTCACTTCTCTCTTTGAAGAGTTGTTGTATAGTGCTAAGAATGGCAAGACTCACTGACAATGCCGACTATGATGCCGGTGGAACGTCTGAGAATGTACCACGTCCACGGTCCGACTGGAAATCATCGTGCACACAATGGACCCCAGACTAGGTGCATTCCTCTATTTCTTCCTACCAATATGACCAAGTTGCAAAAACAAGATCAAACAACTTCTATGCAACGAAAGGAGACTGCGACTACACAAAAGTTCACACCAGCTTGGTCTTCATATCTTCGATTAAAGTATTTATTATTGGCTTATCTTCGATTATGGGCAACCACTTTTTCCTAAACTCAACTTTTGACAAACCCAACCCGGCATTATTTTTGCATCAGGTTGCTTTTTTCTGACATTAATTATCTTCTGCTTATTTCTGCATCAATCACTACTTGTATCTGGTTTTTAATCTTAAAATCGCTAGCCATGCTTTAGTGAACGATTGACTTTCAATTTTTACCATTTTCATCACTTTTTTTTATCTACTTCGATTTTTGACTATAGAATCAACTTAATCTACGCGAAAAGCTTAATACTTCCTTTATATCCATTAAAGCCTGCCATGCCAATCTTCATTAATATTGGAATATCCTTCATTTCGCTTGAAGAGGTGAGTGG